AGATAGATAGATAGATAGATAGATAGATAGATAGATAGATAGATAGAAAGCAAAAAAAGAAAGTTCAGGAGCTAATATGACGCTAAATAGATAAGGAATTGAAAAGAATATAAGACCACAGCAAAAGAATGTTTATTCTTTTACCTTTCGTTCCTGGAAAGTGCATCATAGATTTTACAATAAGCAAAATTCATATTTAAGACATGAACACAACCGAGCGACATTCACAATTATCAGTTTTTTGGACAGTGTGTTGCATAGGAGGAAACGTCCCTTAAGCAAATGTATAAAAATTATTTATATTCAGATGAAAAGGGGGAGGTCGACGTGGGCATTGTTGTTCCATCAGAGCATGTGTTGTTGGTCAGTTGCTGTCTTATGCCTTGACCAAGGCAGCGAACTCTGCGGGGGGACAGAGAAAGAGAGCAAGCGTTTGTCTGGTGTACAGACATCCACAGAGCACAGAGGTGGGCTGCGTGGGGGTCAGCAGCTGCGTGCCTACCGTCAACGCCAAGCATGCCGTCACCGTCGCTGTCGCCGGCCTTCAGGAAGGTCTTGGTTTCCCCGTCGGTGAGAGCGCGTGCACCCGGCTTGAAGTTCTGCAGGAACAGCCTGCCAAGACACAAGAGGCGGTGGTCAGTTGGCCAATTTACGCAGACGCGCTTCAGTTTGTTCCATTTTTGGGCCACTGCATGCGGCTCTGAAACAGATCATGAGCATCTGATCTGTTCAGATGAACAATAAAAGAATGATTCGCGCTCTTACTTCAGCTCCTCCTCCTCAATGAACCCGCTCTTGTCCTGGTCAATGATGAAGAAGGCCTTCTTGACGTCTTCGGACGATTTGCCTGCCAGACCGCAAGTCTTGAAGAACTTCTTGTGGTCGAAGGAGTCCGCGCCTACAGTGGACACATTCGCGTTACTGACTTTCACACACGCGCAAAAATAAAAAAAGAAGCTCTGGGGAGGGGTGGGGGTGTTGGAGCGGAGAGGGAGAGGACTAAGGCTGAAAGTCACCTTTGCACTCATCCAGGGCTTTAGTGATCTCATCGTCTTTCAGTACACCTGCGAAAGCCATTTTAAGCTGCAGAAATAAAGCAAAATGAATTAAGCCACAGCATTAGCAAACGTGGGTCTGTTTCCCCATAAAAAGCCATCAGCTTCACAGTACAACAATTTGTTCCCTGGACAGTCCCGAATATCTATTCAAGCTTAATTATAATTATTCGAAGCAAACGGTAAAGAAGTCGGAAAACACAAAATGCCTATTATTAAAATCTCACTGCACATTCACACAGTTCACAAATTAAAAATAAATGCGCGTAATACATTGTTCCGTATGGAATAGAAGCGAGGTTCCGGATTTACTCTTAGTCAGTCCACTTGTCTCGGAAGGACGGTATATTTTCTGTCCCGATCCCACTCGAGAGGCTGAGATTGACCCGATACTGCGGCTCTAAAGATGCTGAGGGCTGACCAGTAATCCAAGTCTCTTTTTCCGCTCCCACGAGAAAACGCAGCACCCACTGCTTTCTTTAGATGCTGCATTGCAGTGAAACGTCCCCATTAAAACGCGATGTTTAATTTAGAAAAAATAGATAAAAAGTTAAGTTTTTTTTTCTCTCTCTAAGAAGAGCCAAGCTGGATGCTGTGGCTGTGGCTGCCGGAGTTCTTTTTCCCCTTTTTTTTCCTCGCTCGTTTTCAAACTCACCTCTGGTGGTGGTGTCTTAGCTTTGTAGGGTACAGATGACACAGGCAAGACTGGAGTAGGACTGCAGTGACCATCCCGGTGCTCCCGGTGACCTTTTATAGTTTCACTCCATCGAAATGTGAGGCATAAGATAACTGACACCGAGCGGGGCGGGGGTGGCGAAAATTCGTCCTGTAGCCAGAGAGCGGTCTATTTTGAGTTTCACAAATGAAGACGCTTAAAAGGTGCGTTTGAAGAAGTCTTTAATGTCCCTCGGTGCTAAGAATAGGCCTGTGCACTGCTGAGGAGGACGAATTGGAAGTGCTGCTGGCACAACACAGCCATATTCAAGAGGGTGGATACTCAGCATGCATGCATTAGAGCTGGCGTAAGTTGCATTAAGTGGTTGTTTTTTCCCTGTTTTAACATTTCCCTTTGCTGATGAGGGAGGCTCTGTGCTGCTAGGTGTGTTAGGAAATGATCTTAAGGTCTTTAGTTTGATAGCGTGAGAAATATCTTTAAAGTGTATGAATGTAGCCTATCCAAAGGAACAAAAATGCCCTTTTCTGGGAAATATATCTATTTTTGCTGTTCAGGCAATTCTTTAAACTGTCAGGCAGCCTCAGTTTTGTTTCACATGCAATTATTGAATTGATATTTTGATTACTGTGATGATTGGTGGACAAAATCAGTTTGAGAACACTCATTCAACCTTTGTGAAGTCATGTTCCACCATGTTGTATTAAAATGTTTAAGATGGGGCGACCTTTATCCCTCCAACACTGACTAATTGGAGCTGAGAATGTTTTAAGTGTCCGTCTCGATTAAAGTTAGTTCACTCTTTAAATTGAGGTTCTGAATCTGACCAGCAGGTGGCAGCTCTATTGCATGAAGAAAGCTGTGGAGCACCTCAAAGCTGCTTTCTGTTTTGACCACTGGCTGACTGTAATTCTCTTTCGGTGTCATCTGATAGGGTTGAGGGTTTACATATTGCTGACCTGCAGTGCTCTGGACATTCATAACCCTCTGGAATTGTAATTCGACTTTGAAATGAAAAAGGAGCCGTTCAAATTCGTTTCAAGGCCAGTCCTTAGATTATTTACTCAGAAAATGTGCCATGTTTCAAGAACTCGAAGGAAATAGAACATTATGGATAGAGTAAACTGTTAGGAAGATTCCAGACTACTGTATATCCTTTCAGAGGGTTCTAACTGGAGCTGCTGATGAGACTGAGGCTGGTAATAACCTTGTTGCCTCTGCACATCATCAAACTGATTATGCAGCAGTTGCTCGAGAAAAGATCTTGGACCACACCACCTAATTATACAAAGTGGGACAGCCATCCAATGCAGAGCTTCCTGGTTCTAAGATGCATGTGAGCAAAGCCCTAGGGCCATTCCCAGCGCATTATCCTGCCACTGGCCAAAGTCCAGCCACACTCCGCTTCTTATTAACCAATTATAAAAACGAGCGCTGGGTGGGTTGCCTCAGCCATCTCTCAGTGCCTCCCAAGCATTTAAGAACCCCATCAAATGAGAAGACTCTTTAGGAAGAAGACTAATTTGACACTGCCTTTTTAAATTAAGCCGTTGTGTTAATATGGGTGCAGATGTGTGCATTCAAAAGAGCGGTGCAACGCGCCACAATTGACAAATGCAATGACGACTGACCTGGACAGGATGACTTCACACCAAAAGAGTATTTATTCCCGGTTTTTCACTCTTCCTCAAAAGTGCAGATGGTGTTGTACAGTGTGCACAAGTCATATTTCAGAACATATAACATATCTGATTAACGTTAGCAGTTAAACATGTATTGCATGTTGAGAAATAGTTTGCAGGCATAAATAAGGTATAAAAAATATTCTTTCAGCTGATGATTAATGAATCTTGGAAGGAGTTCGCAGTTCCATGAAAAGAAGGGGATCTTGGTCAGTGGAAATTTATGCCTTAACAAGGGCAGCAAACTCTGTGAAGGTAGAATAAAACCGTCATTAGTTATAAAATCCTTGAATAAAAGAAAAGAGCGTTTTGCAGTTTCTATGTCATTAGGCTGTGATCGAGAACCTCTCACTGACCAAGAATTCAAAGCCGTGGAGCTAAGGATTTATGAAGACTTTGCTGTTAAGAAAGCAGTAATATTCATGCATATCTGTGCTGTTTTCAGCTAAATGACTAAATCTGTAAAACGTCTGCTGTGCTTCAAGAAGGACCCTTACCATCGACTCCGATCTTGCCATCACCATCACTGTCACCAGCGGCGAGGAAAGCCTTGGTCTCCTTGTCAGTGAGTGCTCTGGCACCAGCAGAGAAATTCTGCAGGAACAGCCTGACAGGAGGACAAAACAGTGAGAATTAAAGGGATGCTGGAAAGCCTCTCAGTGCGCTTTCAAGCCCCCCCTCTAAGCTGGCCGCACTGAGTAAGTCATTTCTTTAATAGGGTTGTATCATTAATATTATTATTAGTGTACTATTTGGCCCCATAGGCCATATTTTAAACACAGCACAGTGATATTAAATCTGCTCCACGTTCTGGGCCACTGTGGCCTTGGCATCAAGTTTCAGCTTTTGCGTGAATTACTGAAATGCCTTACTTCAGCTCCTCCTCCTCAATGAAGCCGCTGTTGTCCTGGTCAATGATGGCGAAGGCCTTCTTGACGTCATCAGAAGACTTGCTGGCCAGGCCGCATGCCTTGAAGAACTTCTTGTAGTCGAAGGAGTCAGCAGCTGGAACACAATCAAAGAAATATAAGCACCCAACAAGCCAGTAACATGATACTGATATTGTTTGTCCAATTTGGCTGGCAGTTTATGTGACATGCTCTTAAATAGAACGTGTAGTAAATGATTAGCTCAGCCTCTTATTTGTGTTTTTTCCCCCTTTGGAGCCAGATTAGCATTGAGGAGAAATTGTGTAAAAAAACAAACAAAACCCCAAAAAATGGTTCATTGTGTTGACGGCTGAATAATTGAGAGTTGATGAAACTCACCTGAGCAGCCATCCAGAGCTGCTTTCACTTCAGCTTCATTGAGACCAGCGAAGGCCATTTTTTATTCTGTGAGGGGAAAGAAGGAAAGATTTAGGGTTAGACTGAGAATCAAAATCTTCGCTGTTGGTTGCACTGAAAATAGTTTTTCTCATTGCAAACTGGTAACTGCTATTGTGCCAAGCACTCCAGTCTGACTGATCAATCCCAAATATTCTCAAGGCCATTTTATCTAATCATTATTCAATGGAACCTTAGCTTTCTAGCTTTAGAGCACATTAAGCATCCTGCAAGGTTTTCCTGGTCTGCCATGCAGTTAAGTGTT